CGAACGGGATCGGGAAACGTAAACATCTCGTAGAATATATATATATATATATATATATATATGTATATATATTGCGCGTTTACAGACCAAGTTTAAGACAAGTCGTTTAAATTTGTTAGTTGCGAGAACTTGTGATGTTGAATTGTATCTATATCTATACTGCAAATAGACTGTTGAGTTTGTTTGTATCGAAATCGTATTTGAACGACTTTAAAACAGCATGCATGTATATAAACGGCATTAAAGAGAATAGACTTAGATAGTTTTTATCTTTTCGCGCGGTTAGCAAGTTTGAAAATTTAAATTAAAAGAAATGTCGGAAATGTTTTACGTTTTGAACATCAATTGCTGATCAAAGATTATGTAATATTATGTATATAATATTTTTTCGAATAGTGCAATAGTTCATTGATATGATTTATAATTTCAATTATGAATAATGATGAATGAATACTTTTTTGCAATAATATTAAATTTCTATGAATTTTCTTACTCGAAAATATCACGAGTTAATAGATTGCAAGAGGAAAAATAATTTTTTTTTTTTTATTTATTTTATACTTTTTCATTTTTTTAAATTAGATGGCATATTTAACTTCGGTTAACATATTTATTAAGTCAAGAAAAACAAAGTCGCGTGGCGAGTCTTTCATTATCACTTTGTAAGCATTGGTTATCGCATCGAGAATATCGTGTTAAACATTTTCTACAGATTCTTTTTACATTCGTTTGGTCTTTGAAATCTGATTCATTTTCCAAAAAAAAGAAAAAAAAGAAAAAGAAGAAAAAATTGAAAATAGAAGATAAAATAAAGATAAACTTGCTCGGTTAAAAATTTCATGAACGCTCGATGAACATTTGAATCTCGACATCGGAATTATCGAAATTTAAAAAAACCCTGTTTTAAATAAAGAATGTGAATAAAATGGCGTTACGAAAATACCGAGAGATCGCTTCCGAGTTTACGATTTACCACGATATTGTGCATATTATGAGAAACCACGTGACCCGATATCGTTTGCCAAAATTTCGATCATTTCAGAAATTCTCTAAAGTGTCACGCGATTCGACCGCGCGACGAGAAACGACTCGCTCGTTTAACCTTCCCTCGAGAAAATAGCTTGTAAGAAAACGCAGGGAAAAATTCGATTCAACATGACGCCACGACATTTCGAATAATAATTGTATTCGCTCACGCGATTAAAATCACTGGTTAATAGCCGCGTTTAAATTAAGGATTAGGAGATTATCGTCAGACCATATCGTAAGAAAACGCGAGATTATATTTACTTGTGCCGTCGCTGCTCCTGTTGCTCGTACACCCGCAACACGTTATCTTCCTCGATTGTCCCTTCTGCTTCGATCGTCCCTTGGCCATTTTTCCTTTTCTTTTTTTTTTTCTTCTTTGCAATATCTTTCCCGATCGACGACGAATAAAACGACGAAAAAAATTTCCCTCAAAATCAAGAAAGTTTTGAAGAAAGTTTAAAGGTCCAACCACGCGAGGATCGAAAAAGAAAAAAAGGAATCGTTATCTCGTTTCGAGAACGAGAACGCGCGGCAAATTTATCGTAACGCGTAACACACTTTGCTCCTCCTCCTCGAGCGAAAAGAAGAATCCCAGAAGAAGATGCAACTTTGTACAACTCAGTCCAGCGAACACGATGTACTGACGGTGTGCAGCTACGTACGAGGATTAATTACATCACTCGGCTGAACCGAGCCGCCGAGTGATGCGCAAGTTACACAGGTCACGCGAATTACAATTAACGTCCGTTATCGGTACGCGTCCATTGATGGGATCCATCCACGCGTCGCGGATCGCACGCACAGCCCGCACGCACGCAGCCACTGTCGTCGATTCCTCCACTCCACTCCACTCCACTCGACTCCGTTTGTTTATCGTTGGAGCACCGGGTGATCGGCGAAATTGGGGAAATTTGCCGTCACGTAAGTGTGCACACCGTTCCAGGGTATCGTTATTACTGGAGAGAGGCGGCCGTTACGCAAGCAGCCAACGTATTTCACCTGATTAGATTTGATTTGTTAAATTGCATTAACCGCGCACGGCCTGGATGCTTCTCTCCGCTTCTTTCGTTCCGCGCGTATTTCGTCGCGTGCTAGAACCGGCGGGGTCAGGAACAGCGACTGCTTTAAGATTAATACAAGTTCGACGCAACGCTACTACTACCTAACAGAAACGTGACCTCATTCCGTGAATCACCAATTTTATAATAGTAGCTGCCTCCGAGCTTTTCCACTATACTTTATTTACATCTTCGCAACCGTTCGCAACCCGACTCTCCTACCGTTTCTTTGAACGGTAAGGAAGCGTGACCGGGTGCAATTGTTGGCAACTGATCGATTTCTTCTCTCGTCTCTGTCGGTACGCGTTAGCGCGGAGGAGTCGAGCGAAATCGTGATTCGTCGAAATCATTTCTGCGAAGTCGTAGAGATAGAGCGCGATTTACGATTACCCTAATCGATCAAACCAACGTGTATGAACCAATCGAACAAGATCGACTTCCCCTTTGATCTTCCTTTCCACCGACGCGGGCCGAGCGATTACGATTGCTTTCCAAGCTTCCAAGCCAGAGGCCTCGACGCGCTCCAGTTCGATAAATAGGAAGACGAGTATTTAAAAATTAGGACCACCGATGCGCGTGAAGTTTTCTCTCCAACTTCGCCTGTTTACCATGTAACGTGACCGACGAACGTTGAGTATCCGTGTCAAAGTTTATGAATCACGCTTTTCCCGCGCTCCGCCGCGGATCATCCAAGTTAATGAGAGTACAAACTACGCGTCAAAGTTTTGAAGTGGAAAGAAGGAAAAGAA